CAATCAAAGCTTTTTTTGCTCGTTCATGACTTTTCTGATAAAGGCTTTTTGGCAAAGATAACTCCTTAGTCTTGACGATGGGGCTAGGATCGGGTCGATTTCCATCCCTAGGCCCCCACGCATCCTCTTATTCAACATTTATTAGCTTAGTTTGGTTGGGTGGATCGTGCAATAAGCATCTCTCGACTCAATCACTGAGGATTCTATGGAATTAATGCCAGTTATCTTTCTTCGACCGTCTTCTGAGCCCTGGGCTTTGTTTTAATGAGATTTTAGGGAAAATGTATTTTAAAATAGTAATTTTTTTGAATAATATATGGTTAAAAGAGAAGAAAAAGTTTTGAGTTTACTTGTACTATTATTTTATTGAAAAATGTGTGACAAAAAAGAAAAAAGAGAAAAATGCATTAAAATTTTAATGGAGCCCAAATAGGGACTAAGAAGAAATCCCATACCCAAACATTTCCTCTCACTTTCAATCGAGCTACTCTTTGCTCTTCCCTTCTGTCTTAGTCGATTCCCAAGAAGTGCTCCCAATTTCAATCCCAAGAAGGGAAGTGAAATGCCTCACATACCGAAATGTTACATTAATCAGAAGGAATTAATCTACACTAGTGTCATTCAAAGAACAGACAATAAAAGGTTTGGTGCATCATTTTATTGGCTCCATTTTTTGATAATACATATTGAAAAGGCCTTGAGAACACGATATTCGAGCGAAGCCCTAACTTACGTGAGAAGGACGGGATCCTTATGCAACAACTTCATCCATGTATGCGCTGGGTTTCCCAACTGGGCATGTGTTGGATTTTATACATCGTTTTACCACTTAGTAAGTCTTTTGTGTTTTTTACCCCCAAGTGATAGACCATGATATTTTTCATGAAAGTGCCTTCTCTTTTAAGAATTGAGAAGGTTTTTATTCTGAGGGATGGAGCACTGGAAGTGAAGTTTCAAACAGTATTGGACAGGTACAGGGATTGCATGATTTACTAGTCTTTCCTCTAGACTCATCAATAGGGCGATGCTAAACTATCTTGTAATAGTATTTGTGTATATGATTTTGTTTGCCTGTTACTTTTATTTATCAGAATTTCCTGGTAAAAGGGCTTGCTTTTGCGGCTATTTCTATTCGAAGTGGAAAAAGAGTTTATAACTACCTCTTCCTATCACATCGAGAGTAAATTTGGAAACCCCATTGAAGTCGAAATCCCATTTGAGGCCGTCCTGTTTGCTATCCGACTGAGTCCCAAATTGGAAGAATACGGAGTAGAATTCAACGGCGTGGTGAATGGAAGAAGATTTTTGAATGAGTTGACGCTAAAGCTGCTGCTGATTATTCCATTATCATTATAATTAGCTCAATCACATGCCAATTTTCAAATGCTGGAGAAAATTGAATATGGAGAGATGTTGGGTGGATATGAACTAGGAGCCAATGGCATTGACGTCTATTCTTGTTGGATTTAGGTACCTTTCTATTGAACAGTGTGACGTAATATCACTTAACAGATATAACAAAATAGAAAAGTGATTCACTCGTTTGCCCTTCCTACGTTGATGGATGCCTCTGGCTTACAACAAAAATGTGAAAGAAGCAGAATTCAAACTCATGTAAAAAAACTTCAACGTGTTTACATTTACCTAATGTGGATCAGGTGGGCTTAGGAAAATTGGTGGCGATAGAGATGAGTGCAAGAGATATGATTGGGATGAGAGGCTGTTGGAAAAAATTGAGTGAGCGGCTCACTTTTGACACAATTTTTTATGGGACCCGTTGGTCCAATGTGGAATATCAAAGTTGATATGTGTTCTCCTCCGCGAGAACATCGATTTCATGTATTTATTTACCAAAAATGAAGCTCGGGTGAATGAGAAATTGAAACTCAAAGTTAGTTATTGGAAGTTCATTTTGTAGGAAAAAATGCATTTATCCCACATAGGAAAACCAATGAAACTTAAACCACTTTATATATGACTATGTTTTGGAGATTTCTAATCATATGTAGCATAGAGGCTCTCTTTACGTGCGCGTGCAGGGGATGCAAATCACTAACCGAAATGGCATTCGAACCTTGAACTTGGGTGTGGGCGCGATCTGCGTACACGAATGTCGGACCGAACAAGGCAAAAATGGCCCCATCGATGAGCCCACGTTTTGCCAATTTTTTTTTTTTTTGACTTTCTCCAATGACTTTTGAGTTTCTAAATTGAAAAAACTCCAGTGGTCACAGTGTTAATGGGAAGTAACTCCCAATGGTCACAATATTAATGGACAGTATGCCTACAAAAAGGCCCATTCTCTAGCAATCTAACACACTCGAAAATCTCACCTACATTCCTACATACACAGTTTCTTCTTTTCTACATTCCTTGTCCAATAAGGTCTTGTTCTTGTGGTGATATTGTTCGGATACTAGATCAGTTCGTCGGAGTAGAACCGCGGTGCTCGAATTCTGCTTATTACCGTTGTATCTTGGGAGACAGCCGCTCGAACTGAACCTCCAGCACCTACGATGAGGGGGCGAAACTGTCTTAAGAAAACTGTGCGCGCACAGGCCTCGGTTTGAAACATGCTGCAGTTTGTGTTTTCTTTCTACAGATTATTTTCGCATTACTATTTAATTCATGCAATTTGTAGTTCTATAGTGTGCAGCTTCCAGATTCATCATTTACAGTTTTAGCCTGCAGTTAATTTAGATTTCTGATTTTGTGTTGCCAAACATTTTTTTCAGCCGTTAGAAAATTTTGAAACGGAAATTTTTTTGATAAATTGAAATCGTTTGCCTTGTAATTATTAATTTCAATAATCGGCTATTGTAATTGAATAAAACTTATACAATTTGTTTCATCCACTAGCAGTCTACAGAGGCAAAAATGAATAATAAAACTAATTGATATAAAAATAATAATTGCTATATAATTTTAAATCCAATAAGTTGAATAGAGATATTTGAACTATATTATCTAAAAGCACTCTAATTTCCTCCTTTTAATTGTTACCATTTGTGTTAGAGCTTCTTTTACTGTGGAGTTTGAGTATGGTATGATTTAGAATTATCATATCTACATAAAAGCATAAAATAGAATAGATGTTCGTGTGATTGATAATACACTTAACCTTTTGATTTTCACTTTTTATGGCCATTAATATTCAATACGATGCGTTCACTTAGGCTTATCTCATACGCGTAAAAATATAAGATATATTGTCTTATGTAGCTCTTGTTTAGTGGGGTTTTAATATATTTTGATAAAGTTGATGAAATAATGATTGAAATGTTGTAAGTCACATAAAATATATGATAAAAATTAATTATTAATTATAACTTAAATTAGATATATTTT